CGATGGCGCCGATCTGTTGGGTCGGTTACGGGATGGGAATGGGAACAATTACTGCGTTTGATTACTGGGGGGTTTTTTTTGGGATTATTTTTTTCTGTATCTGATAGACCGTTAATTTATTTAATATCCATTGGTTTAGGTTCTTGGCCTTTCCTTGAATATCTGTTAGTCATTTTAATATTTTATATATATATATATGTGTGTGTAAATATATATATATATATTAGGAATGTTTTTTTCGATAAGGTAGTGTACATCGTACGTGCAGTCAATGATCTCCAAAGATGACTTTCTAAAATATTTTTCCACGAACCTTTCTCCCCCGCCCCCGAATTTCTTTAACGTTTTTGGAATGACTTCAGTAAGCTTAGGAATTGTTGGTATCCAGAGAGGAACTGGGGATGGGGAGGCCGCGTGCGAGCCAAGTGCGATCCCTGTCATTTAACACCTAGCGAGGTAAGAGAAAATACACAAAACCAAGTGCCTTAAAGCCAGAAAGGGAACCCCCGAGACGAGACGTAGCGGGGGGACGCTGTCCTCGGAGCAGGCGATCTGTTGGGCCCTGCCTACCCGTAAACGTCTCGCTCAGCAGACGCAAAAACCAGCCAACGACGTGTTTTTCTGTTGCGTCCTCCCGCACCGTCGCGTCTCGCCGCTCTCGGCTCCGCTCTGCCCGCTCTTGGGGGAGTGGCGAGGAGCGAAGGGACGGATTGAAAAAAAAACCCCATGCGGAGGTCGTTGCCATGGTTGGAGGGACCTTACGGAGTAATTGCTATTCCAGTAGAAGAGATAACCGTTGTTTACACGTGTACGGAGTAGGAACTGCGTAGCGTAGAGTCGATGTCGTAGAACGTTCATCGGTTTTGGTGACAGTCCCAAGGGTGTAGGTACTTGGATGGATTCAGTGCATGGAAAATCTTCCTTTTTTTTTCTTTTTTTTTTTTTTTAAAAAAAAACTTGCTTCTAAGATGCAATAAAGATTTTTTTTTTATTTGCAATCGGAGCGCCTCACGTCTGCCTCAGTCCGTCTCTTTCCGTACAGGTAGGCACGGCCACGAGGGGAAAGTGGTTTCGGGAAGTAAACCCAGGTCAAAGGATCTCCCTCCTCCAAAGGGGTTTGACCTCCACGTTGTGTTTTGGCCCGGAATAAGCTTAGAGCCGCACACCTCATCTCCAGGGAAAGGGAAGATGCTGGTTTACGCTCCCATCACGGTGACGAGCAGCGCGGTCCCCTGGGTCGTCTTGGGCGGAGGGGGTTTGGCTTCTTCCTCATGAAACGATTAGAAGTGCTTGTGCGGTGCGGAAACGTCCCTCATTACGCACCCAAAACGCCCGCAACGGCAGGGCTGAACGATCGGGATCACGTTCCGTACGTTCGGAACCAGCGTTACGTGTGTCCAGCGCCAGTTTAGCCGCCGTCGGTACGGGTGCGAGGCTGTTTTATGGAAAACTGAAGTCCCACAGCAGGGATCGGAGGGTTTACGGAGGTGTTTCGTCACACAGGGGAAGGGAAAAAATAAAAAAGGCCACAAAGTGTTTGTGG